CCAGGCTTTTGCCCCTACTTTTTTTTTTTTTTTTTTCTAAAATATACATTTTCTAAAAATTGGAGCGGGCAGCCCGCACTTCCAATATTTTAGTGATCCTGAATTTAAGGAGCCTATTTCCATTATGCAAAACTCTGTCTGCCATAAATGTGTCTCTTTTGGACTTAGCTAAATGAATGAGCTTGATAAATGTCAAACCACAATTACAGTATCAAATTCATGTGTCAGAGGTTAATATATGTGACCCTGGAGCACAAAAGCAGTCTTAAGTCGCTGGGGTATATTTGTAGCAATAGCCAAAAATACATTGTATGGGTCAAAATTATAGATTTTTCTTTTATGCCAAAAATCATTAGGATATTAAGTAAAGATCATGTTCCATGAAGATATTTTGTAAATTTCCTACTGTAAATATATTAAAACTTAATTTTTGATTAATAATATGCGTTGCTAAGAACTTCATTTGGACAACTTTAAAGATGATTTTCTCAGTATTTTTATTTTTTTGCACCCTCAGATTCCAGATTTTCAAATAGTTGTATCTCGGCCAAATATTGTCCTATCCTAACAAACCATACATCAATGGAAAGCTTATTTATTCAGCTTTCGGATTATGTATAAATCTAAATTTCGAAAAATTTACCCTTATGACTGGTTTTGTGCTCCAGGGTCATATATGCAGGTTATAAAAGCGTTTCCTTGTGTGATGTGAGGGCATGTTGTGAGTTCCAGAACAAATGCACGAAAGTGGATCTGCACTGTTTTTATTTTTACAGACTTGTACTAGATTTAACTGCTGGAACCACCTCAGACACTGATGACGAGTACCCCCAGTATTTGATATTTTTTAATGCTGCATAGCATTACACACCTGCTCTGTTGTTAGGATGACAAAAATTTTAAGTTACAAAAAACTACAACTTCCTACTGATCTCAATTACTTAAAAAAAAAAAAAACTTGAGGCTTGATAAGCTCTGCTCCCAACCAATAGAATATGAAAATAACTTTTACTGTAACTTTTTATCACACTGCATAAAAGTGTTCATCCTTAGTAGGTTTTTCTTGTTTTCCAGTGCTAATTTCTTAACTTTCTTAAATCAAGATACTCACTTGAGAAGCAAAAAAATGGCCTCAGTCTTGTTTTCTGTGAAACCGATCAAAATTAAGTGAGTATGATTAAAAAGAACAGATATCCACCAATGGACTCACAAAAAACAACTTAATTAAAAAATATAACATTTAAAATAAAATATTCAAAAAAATAACCCTTTTCATACCACATTTACAGATATTTGTTCTTTTTCAATTTTGTTCAGTTTCTTAGAAAACAAGACTTATCTTAATTTTGCATTTCAAGCAAATGTATCATGATTTAAGGATGTTTATATATTTGTATTGGAAAAGAAGACAAAAATACTGAGGAAGATCATACAACATTTAATGCCATGACTACGACATTTATTATTATTACTATACACATTTAAGTCCTGTAGAAACACTGGTATGCCTCAGATGTCTATCATCACTTGTCAAAATTATAAAGATGGCCAAGTGCAGATTTATGGACACAAGATGGCACTGGGCATTTATCTATGGTGTTTAAAAATGCTTAAATCTATAAAATGATGTATACTATTTGTTCCCTGTACATAAAACCAGTAATACTGTATACAGAAAAGTAAGCTTAAATATAGTACACTAAGAAATAAATCTGTAAAATAAAGTACTGGCAGCTTTTTACTGTGACATTATCCATTAATGTTTACCAACATTTCCATTAACCCTAAAACACAATGCAATGAAGTGCAAAATTCAAAATGCAGGTATATTCAAAAAAATAACCCTTTTCATACCACATTTACAGATATTTGTTCTTTTTCAATTTTGTTCAGTTTCTTAGAAAACAAGACTTATCTTAATTTTGCATTTCAAGCAAATGTATCATGATTTAAGGATGTTTATATATTTGTATTGGAAAAGAAGACAAAAATACTGAGGAAGATCATACAACATTTAATGCCATGACTACGACATTTATTATTATTACTATACACATTTAAGTCCTGTAGAAACACTGGTATGCCTCAGATGTCTATCATCACTTGTCAAAATTATAAAGATGGCCAAGTGCAGATTTATGGACACAAGATGGCACTGGGCATTTGTCTATTGTGTTTAAAAATGCTTAAATCTATAAAATGATGTATACTATTTGTTCCCTGTACATAAAACCAGTAATACTGTATACAGAAAAGTAAGCTTAAATATAGTACACTGTAAGAAATAAATCTGTAAAATAAAGTACTGGCAGCTTTTTACTGTGACATTATCCATTAATGTTTACCAACATTTCCATTAACCCTAAAACACAATGCAATGAAGTGCAAAATTCAAAATGCAGGTAAAACACCTGTAAAAAATAACTAGAGAAATTCCATCAAATACAGTACATGTGCCATATTTTTAGATTTTTTTAGAGTGTACATATAAGACAAAGAAGTAGTAACTCCCATAGCACTTCATGAATATATTTTTAGGAGACAGTGGATTTGGAATATTAACAATGAGTTCACATTTATAAATATATATTAGACAAACACACAATTAAAACAAAGCAGAGAAGAAAAACACTGCTTCTGAGGTTGCCTCTTACCAATTTCTCCCACCTGCACAGAGAAGAATATTAAATATTATATATTAAAAAGCTAATTATTTAAACAGCATGTAAGTTCTGAAAAGTGTATTTCCGGCTCCTGTCCACTAGAGGACTGTCCTGCAGTCACTTTATAATCCCACCTGTAACAATCTCTACAAAGGCTTTGGGAAAGAAGCCTTGTCTGCCATTTATCTGTCCGCTCCACCATTCATCGTCTATGTGAGCAGTGACCAGGATCCTGTCTCCCTGCTGAAAGGCCAGATCCTCTTCTGTCTCTGCTGTGAAGTCATACAGCGCCACGGCCCACTCTGCACTGTTACGTTCCGCCTGTAGACAAACAATAAAGCTTGGATCTACAGCACTAGCTGCATACTCGCGTAAAGCAATATACACTACATAGTACATTATATAGTGATTGTTTATATTGTTGCAAAATGTAAACTGCATTATAAACAGCTCTATATGTTGGATATATTATATCCAACTTTATCCACAGAGACCTGATTTTTTATTTCATCGCTATTATCGTCCAGATCTTCATATAAAGTATGTCAAACTTTATCTGCATACATACAGTATGCTAACAGAGAGCGATATATACTGTACTGTACTATGCAGCATATCTCAACCGCTTGATAGCTTGTATTGTCGCAAAATGTAAATTATATTAGCTCTAATCTGCTAAATGCGACTATAAGGGAGGAAGATATTAAGATAATTTAAACAAATAACATCATGGTTTTCTGTAAAGCTGCTTTGAAACACTTTTTTTGAAGTGCTATTAAAATAGATTTGACTTAACTTGAAACATCAGACATCTCACTGATTTAATGCTTCATATCATGAATTGTTGGACGTATAAGTGTTTGTTCAAAGGGATAGCACACCCAAAAATGAACTTTTTGGTAACCGTTCACAGAAGACCAAAATCAATATTCTTTTAAACCTTTTGTGTTTCACAGAATAAAGTCATACAGGTTTAAAATGCCAGAAGTAAGTAAATGCCAATGAAACAAGTAGCGACAGATCTTTTCTTCCATATTGTGATGTACATCAAAGTGTAATGAATTATTTAAAAAGGCAATTCAGGGCATTGCACTCTGAAGTGTTAAGGGTTTAAGTGTATTAAATGATTGGAGAAGCCCTGTATACATCATTAGAGTAAAAGTGTGTCATTTTCACTAGAAGGTCAAGTTATGATGTTTTGATTAACATTATGAGGTCATATATATATGCACATTTATATGCATGAATGAATTGTCCACAATACGATCTATAAAATGCATTTTGAAAATAAATATGGTGATTTTTCAATGTGACAGGTGGAGAGATGGAGATGGATACCTCACTGGTCTTGTAAGACATTCGTGTGTTAGATGAACCAGCCATTCCTGAGAAATAAAACACAACATATATTAGATCCATAGCCCAGAGCTGTATGCATTATGCAAGCAAACATATGCAAGGATTATAAAATCCTGTTAAATTCATATTTAAAAATACTCCACTTTCAAATTCACCCTAAAGATGGTCTAAGATCATACATTTGAGCCCAGTTCAGCCAATTATTTAATTTGACTGATTTCTTAAAGAGCCTGCACACAAATGCAGTTTATGAATGAATTATTACTGTACAGTATATGTGCTCCATGGAGTCACAAAGAAGAGCAGCTGTCCTCATGAGGAGATTCTGCAGTGTAACGAATGAGATGGAGGTCACAGTTTAATAAAGCCCTTAATGAAACACAAACAGAAGGGCAAATTCTTCACATTCCCTCCACAGGGAGAGCGGCTGATGCTGATACTGCACTACCACTTACTGTTGGTGTTGTAGGTAGATTAGAAACCTATACAGTAAGTGGATGGATTACAGACAGTTCTAGAGCAAACTGAATGTGCTGCATGTTCTCTGAAACATCGTTTTTTTAAAACAAATTTCAACTTTTGTCACATTAAAACTACCTACCTAGGAAACATTTTACCACACCGTCATTTATTTTTGTTACTTTTCAAGTGCTTTTTAATGTCTAGATTTTGACACAGAAAATCCATCATCATCTATAACCTCCAACCATCATGATGCATGGAATAAACAATCCCTTTCAGTATTTACTGCATAAAAGTATTCATATAAATGTTTATACAAATTATAACTGTCCTGCGGTTATATACTGGTGTAGTTGTGACAATTTCCACCACAACCAACAATATTGCCACTAATAAACGTTTTCAAAAGTCTTGTTTACAACATTCTTGAGATGAATATCATTTGTGAACAGTAGCTTTTTTTATATATATATAGTGTGTCATTTCCTATTAAGCTGTAATTTGGCCAAATTATGCAAAAAGTGGCCATTTTATTTCAAAATTGTTTATAGTTTTGCATCATTTAGATTTCCATCACCGCCTTTGCCATTACAGAATGTTATTAATCACAACGTATATTTTAAGATGTGCTGGAAATGACACTGTGGTGGAAATGTTTAGGACATTTTAGAAAAAGACAGAATTCTCCAGTGATGTATGTATGTCTGCTGCAGGACATTTTTAACTCTTTCCCCGCCAACGTTTTTGAAAAAAAGTTGCCAGCCACCGCCAGCATTTTTGATGATTTTCACTAAAATTTCATGGCCCCCAGAATATTTTGTTTTGTGAATATCTGAACATGCAATACATCGAAATAAAGAACAGAGCCTCTACTTAAACAAAAAATCTGTTTTATTCTAGCTTCAAGCATTCTTTTTTTTATCAACACTAGAATGTAGGTAAGTTTTATATATAAACATATATATAGCAACATTTTAGCAAAAAGCAGAGAAAATCACTTTTTTAAATCAAATACTACATATATCGGTACTACTACTATCGGAATTAAAGAAAAAAAATATATATTCCATGGTGGAAAAAAAAATCCGTAGGATCTAAATGTTTTAAACTTTAAATAAAATGTGTATAATTTATAGATATATTGTTTTGGGCTCTTACCAGGCAGTGCAATCTTATTCGGAGCAGATTTCTGCACTGGGGCTGGAGGGAGATCCTCAAGCACTTCCACAAAGTTGAGAGGGAAAATACCAACTTGGCTGTTCACTTCCCCACGAGCCCACTCGTCTCCCACATATTCTTTAAGCCGAATCACATCACCCTCAGAGAATGAGAGCTCATCGCTCTGCTCTCCCTCAAAGTCAAACCTCCCGACACACCTTGGGCCTCTGAAGAAAACACAGGCCTTAAGTCGCTGGGGTATAATTGTAGCAGTAGCCAAAAATACATTGTATGGGTCAGAATGATAGATTTTTCTTTTATGCCAAAAATCATTAGGACATTAAGTAAAGATCATGTTCCATGAAGATATTTTGTACATTTCCTACTGTAAATATATCAAAACTTAATTTTAGATTAGTAATATGCATTGCTAAGAACTTCATTTGGACAACTTTAAAGATGATTTTCTCAATATTTTGATTTTTTTGCACCCTCAGATTCCAGATTTTCAAATAGTTGTATCTCGGCCAAATATTGTCCTATCCTAACAAACCACACATCAGTGGAAAGATTATTTATTATTAAAATTGACCCTTATGACTGGTTTTGTGGTCCAGGGTCACATATATGTGCTGCTGTAGATCAGATTTTAAATGAAAAATCAGTTCATTCAATTTGTGTTTAAGCTTTCACAATCGAATCCTGTGAGGATGACTTACCTGACAGGCTCAGGAGATGGTTTGGTTTGCCATTCATTGCTGGATGCTGGCGCAGATGTACCAGGCTTGTTCTGAAAAAAAGAAGAAGAAAGCTTATTGGTGATGGTAGTTATTAATCAGTTTCATCAGCCCCAAACATACATGCTTAACCTTCGGAAAATGTTGCCCGTCAATCTCAGTAAGTAAATAACATGAGCCAAGATTTTTGCAGCCCTGTTACCTTAATTTGAGACATTATTAGAAATAATTGTAAAATGCAATTTGTGTGATTTTGCCATTTTCTTGCTTTAAACATTAAAAAATGTCAATAGCAATTAGACAATGTATAAGAAAATAATGTGAAAAAATTGCATCAGAATGAGTAACAGGTTGAAAATGTATCCTAAATAGCACATCACTGAGTAGGAACTAGCAAGTTACAGTATTGTTCGTTTATAGTTGTACTACTTCCATTAAAAACAAGCTACTGTATGCAGTAACAGGGTTGCATGCAAATGTGGGACAAAATAAACATTACTAAAATATTCATTATTTTCAATAAATAAAAATGACTTTTTTAACTACAAAGAATACCAGTTAAACAGATTATTGCATAATAGTTATAGGATTATTTGTTGAGAAGGTCACAGGTGGGACAGGCAATAATCACAATTTTAAGGGCGAGATACCAATATTTTATTACATATATGTAATAGTTCTCACACAATAAATTAAAATAAATAAATAAATAAACAAACTAACTAACAAACTCTAATGCTTTGAAATAAGTCATGGGACATTGTCTACTGTATCTGTGGACAATTCCACATACAATATTTACCAGAGTCTTGACGTAGTTAATGGGGAAGAATCCAGTGATGTTTCTGCATGTTCCCATGTACCACTCACTGTCCAGCTGCTCTACATTAGACACCACATCACCAGCCTTTAGCACCAGCTCTCCAGGCCCCTCTGAGACACAAACACAGGACAGCATATGATTATTACAGGAGCAGCTCTGACACTGATTGAAAAGGAGATACGCATATTTATGTATATATTATGTAATTGCGTGATTACATATATGAACTAGTTAATTGAGCCAGTTCACTGAAACGAACCAGTTCACGGAAAAGAATCTGATTTCCTTGTTTGCCTGAGTGTCACGGTTGGTTTTGGGTGTTGGTGTATGTTCATGTAACCGCTGTTGGGGAGTTTATGTCCATGCTTAAGTTCATGTTTATGCCATGTCATTTCAAGCCAAGCCAAGCACTTGTTTAGTTTGCAATTAGTTCATGTTTATGTTAAATAAAACTGCACTTGGGTCTATCATTACACTGAGGCTCTGGATCACAGGTAATAATGTTGTAAATAATGTTCAGTTTCTTGCACAGACTGATTGTTTCGCTTCATAAGATCTCAAAATATCGTCAGGAGGCACGGCTATTAATTTTGTGATCCTTGATATGCTTTTTTGACTCTTAAAGTGACGGTAGCCATTGACCTGCCTTTTATGAATCACCAACAGCCACGGTTTCAGCTAAAAATCTTCTTTACTGTTCTACTGAAGAAAAAAAAATCACCTACATCTTGGATGGCCTGAGGATGAGTAAATTAACAGCACATTTTCATTTTTGTGAGAACTATCCCTTTAAATTATGCTTGCCTTGGAAAACGGACCTTTGCTTTCTTACACAGAACACAACTGTCTATCTGTATTCACCTGGAGTGAAGTCATACAGGGCTTGCGCTCGCAGAGATCCAGTGTTTTCCACCATGCCACTAAAAGAGCTGTTTTTCTGTAGAAACACATTGAGAGCCATGTTAGCATGCTGACGTCACAAGACAGATAATACACTTACTGTACTTACTACTAAAACTACTATTAAACAGTCAATATCAATATTGATTACCTGAGGTGCTGAATTGCAGAGTAAATTTGTTAAGGGTGTGATAATCTTCATATGTGTTTTCTGCACTCTCCCCTTAGCGTTTCCCACTTGGCATTCGAAGGTTTTGCTGTCTAATTCCTCAAGTAAGACGAGGACTTCATTTTTCTGTAGGAAATAAAGGGTGGACATGCATTAAATTTCCAACAGCTGATCAACACATCAACACATAAACCATCTGTAACTTGAGAAGACGGCACTATGAGGTTAATGTGAATGTATTGACCTGAAAGGAGAGCTCCCCAGTGTTAGTGCCATTGTAGTCAAACTCAGCAATACCGTGGGGGATCTCAAGCTGTGTACGCCAAAAGAAGAGAGTAGAGTTGCATTAAGTTGTTCAGTTCTTCTGTAATACCATTACATCGTTAAAATAACATCTCACGGTGTATCTGTTGTAAAGACGATGTCCAGGGTTGGGTCTCGGCGGGAGGGCAGGTCCTTTTTTCGAAGCTCTACGGTTTTGTTGCTGCCATTGAGGTTGCTGTTGTTTTGATGGCACTATTTGTGAAAATCCTGGATCTGAGGGCCGACGTTGGGAGCCATCTTTCCATGGAGGAGGAGGTCGCCCTGGGCCTGTTTTAGCTGGTGACGGTCGAGGAGGCAGAACCTTTCCTCCACTGGGCCTGAAATATTATTAACATAGAATTTAAGGGCACAATAACAGACCGCATGCTGTCGGCATTGAAAATCAGTGTCACAATTCCCAAGCTGATGATGCCAAAACCAACCAGCCATGAAAAGAGAAACAGATAAATGCATGTTTAGAAAGTCGAATACGAGAAACTGATACTAGGACAGCTTTGAATAAATACATGATTAATTTACCGTGGTGGAAGAGACATATCAGTTGAGAAACTGAAGGAGTCCTGGGGGAAAAAAACATTAATATTCAACGTTTTTGTTTAAAAACAAAATTTGTGCACTAACAATGTATATGTGACCCTGGAGAAAGCATTCTTAAGTCACTGGGGTATATTTGTAGCAATAGCCAAAAATACATTGTATGGGTCAAAATTATTGATTTTTCTTTTATGCCAAAAATCATTAGGACATTAAGTAAAGATCATGTTCCATAAAGATATTTAGTAAATTTCCTACCGTAAATATATCAAAACTTAATTTTTGATTAGGAATATGCATTGCTAAGAACTTAATTTGGACAACTTTAAAGGTGATTTTCTCAATATTTAGATTTTTTTGCACCCTCAGATTCCAGATTTTCAAATAGTTGTATCTCGGCCAAATATTATTATCCTATCATAACAAACCATACATCAGTGGAAAGCTTATTTATTCAGCTTTGAGTTGGTGTATAAATCTAAATTTCAAATAATTGACCCTTATGACTGGTTTTGTGGTCCAGGGTCACATATATGAAATAAATCAGCATAAAAGAATATTGTTCATGGTTTTTGACAGTTATTTTATATTATTATATATTATGCCAGAAATATTTTTTACGCAATTTCTCAAATGCAGACGTGAAACTTGGCCAGTGTGTGTGTTATTGTGGGAGTAACAACCTCAATACTAAACAGGACGTTATTATTATTCAGGTTTCTAGCTGTAAAAATTACTTATATGATTTGACTTGCTCGGCCAGACTCTCTTCAACTCCTGCTTTGACTTGAAGTGGCCGTAAAAGTAGTCAGTTAACACATACTCAAAATCGAGCACGCATAGCTAGAAGCATTCATCAACCTGCAGAGTATGTTTCAAGGCTGAGGAAAGAGAGGAAAAGGAAAACAAAGAAAAGTCCCTATTGTTCCAAATCTCAGCAGATTAAAGAGTTGCTTGCTGGGAAAGGCAGCTGTATAAGGACTCACTTTGCGAGAGGGTTGAGCAGGTGTGGGTGTGGGAACGTCTGCCGTCTCTTCAGGGTCTGAAAGGCAGAAATTCATACACTTACCATGCAACAATGCAAAATTATTTTTATGTAGAATATTACATTTTGATTATCAATGAATCATTTGAATCATGCTGTTTACACTTAAGAACATGCACTACTGTTCAAAGTCTGAGGTCAGTAAGAGTTTTGGAAAAAAATAATACTAATGTGATTATGCTTTCGCCAACCTAGGTAGGCGAAATAATATAGTAATGGGTTTGATGATGTTATGATTTTTGGATCACGTGTCACTACGGTTATGAGTACATCAGATAAGAAAGATTGGTGGGATATCTAACTTGTAGAACCTCTTACTGTATTATCAACACAAGGAAGACCCCAGTGTAATCAAATAAATGTTATTAACAAAAGATAGACAAAAGTAATCAACAACTACTAAATGAAATTGAAAGTGACGTGACGCGTAGCCAAGGATGGTGTCCCATACTCAGAATTTGTGCTCTGCATTTCACCAATCCAAGTGCACACACACAGCAGTGAGTAGTGAACAAACACACACACACACACACTGTAGAACCTCTTACTGTATTATCAACACAAGGAAGACACAAGTGTAATAAAATAACTTTTATTAACAAAAGATAGAAAAGAGTAATCAACAACTACTAAATGCATACCATGAATGAAAAGGAATAAAGTGCATAAGATTGAGTTGTGATTCAGTTACGTTATCTTATGTGAAGATAAACTGAAACTAATAAGGTGAAGAACCTTATTATGCCTCAGACATGTAAATGAAAGATTATTTGTTCTTAACTGATCAGCTATATAAGATCTAATGTAAATTAGAAAATCATATACTGATAATGTACAACAGCGCCGAGGTCTCTGGAAGAGGTTTGGATAAGTGATATCAGGAATCCGTTTTAACAGCTTTGAACACGAAGCGCTGTAGGATGCTGATCTCCTGGAGCACCAAAGGGTCCTAAAATCTGGAGCGCAGACGTGGCCCTGGAGTCGGTACAGAAGGTCCTTAGTCTGGAACATGCAGACGAAAGTACCTTGAAGTGAAGGTTTGCTTGCCGAAGCTTAACTTTGTTGCAAATGTCTGTATGTCTTCTGCCTCTCTGGGCTTGAGACTCAGAACTTTGTCAATCCGCTTTGTCTCTCTAGGATGGAGACTCTGGACGTGCTGCATCTGTTGTTGTCTCGCTGGACGAAGACTCTGAACGTAGAGTATCTCTTTCCTCACAGGCTGGAGGCTTAGAACGTGGTTTTACAAGTGCATTTCTCACTTTCCAAACCACAACCAGAATGCCTTTGGCAATGTTACGAACGCATTAAGTCCAAACATGATGGAAAAAGATCGAACTGTCATGCATGCATTCATTTCTGTCATGACAACTCTCGGAGGGATTGGCATGGTAATGGACATGACAATGTTAATGTATTTGGTCTTGGCAGAATAGATCTGCTACGCTGCTGCTGCTGCGGCAGAGCAAGTACCGAGACTTGCTACTGCCAATACATCCACAACATGCTGCTGTGAGCATGTAAGAAATATTGCTGATGCAAATATAACATACATTAAATAACCCTATATATCATACATGAATCACCTCGATGCAGACCTATACAGGTGGAGCTGGGGAAGGTGGAGGGTTTCTGAAGCAAGCTGCAACTGCTACGGCAAGCACTAGTCATATAGCACTACACATCGCTGTCACTGAGAATACTTATTTCTCTGAATACGTATAAGATGGGTGTGTTGTAGTTTGCATCAGTTTAAGGTTTGAAAACACAGTTATGAATGGATTTGGATGGATCTCTGTGATCTCTCTTTGTTTCACCCAATGCTGCTGCATCCTGGAGGTCCTAAGGAATTTTTATGGCAGTCACAGGTCCTTAGGGATCAGTCTCTTGGTGGGTGAAGGGCAGAAACTGCATTTTGACCAATGAGAAGTCCTGTCCTTCCTGGGCTTGGTACCAGATCCAAAAAAGTCAAAGGCATCGTAAAATGAATCCACATGTATAAAGTCTTGTGAAGAGATATATGATCACTCCATATGATGAACTGATTTCATTTAGATTTTTTGCATTGTATTGTGGTTTCTGTCTTTTTCTAACACAAAGCTATCAAATGGCTCCAGAAGACTCCAAATATATGAACTACATACAATTTTATACATACACATGTACTTTTATGTGTTCTCAAGCTTGACAGCCATGGTCACTAGCTATTGTGGTATGTCCAAGAGCTACTTGGAACAACGTTTTTGGGTAAATTATGCCTTTTACCAGGAATACTCTTTTAACAGATTGTCACCAGCAGTAAGAGCCACCTAAATTTTGTCATGTACTGTAGGTGTGTGTCCAGTAGTGGTCACTCTTGAGTAATTGGTTACAGAATATAGGTGGGAACCATCCTTCAGGTAACAGGTGTTGCTGGAGGGAAGGTGCACACAGTTTTTTTTACCGCTACGCTATGCAACTATGACATTTGTATTGGTGAAGGACTGGAAATGTGGATTTATTGACTGTTTGATTGGATTCTTGCTTACTTGGAAATGAAGACCAGTCATGGTAAAATAAATCTACAACTGTGAGCATTTTAACCTGTGTGTGGACATTTCAGTTAATAATAAACCAGGCGTGCATGTCCATTAACAAGCCCTGTCCAGCATTCCTCAGCTGCTTTAAGTAGTAGGCTTGGCTGCTTACACTGGCATTACTTTTCAAGTTTTACACTTTAAACACTGTAAAAAAAAAAATAGGCGATCGATGTGCATTTAATACACTGCATGGTCCAAAAAAGTCGCCATTTGGATTTAAATAAGCAAATACTGCAGAGTCTAGGACTGGATCATGTTGTATGTTTGGCAATAATTCTTTCAACACTAACTGATGCAGTGTGTAGCTTTTTATTTCTCAAACAACCGTGACCTGAACCCTGAACCTGACCTGAACCCCATTGAAAGTGTTTATGATGTGCTGGAGTCCACTTTACACTGCCTGTCCAAAAAAGTTGTACACTCTAATATTTCATTGGAACGCCTTTAGCTTTGATTATATTGTGCATTCACTATGGCATTGTTTCGACAACGTTATGCAACATCAGAGCATTTATTTACATCAAGAGTTGCATTGATTTTTTTTGGCTGAGATCTTGTATTGACAATGGGAGAGTCGAAGCGTTCTGTAAAATTGACTCCAGCACATCCTAAAGACTTCCAATAGAGTTAAGCTCAGGACTCTGTGGTGATCAATTCATATGTGAAAATGATTCCTCGTGCTCACTGAACCACTATTTCACAATTTTGGTCCAATGAATCTTGTCATTGTCATCCTGAAAATGCTTGAGAAGTAAAAAGCTATGTGCTTCATCAGTTAGGGTAAAAATAATTGTTGCAAAACATATAACATGCCAGTAACATTAATCACTGCAATAATGATCCAATCCTAGACTCTTCAGTATTTGTTCATTGAAATCCAAACTTTTTTTGGCCAGACAGTGTAGCTTCCTCAGATGATTGGTAAAATACTCACATTTGTCAGTTTTGCTGGGGACCCTGATGACTGTGGGTCTCTTGAACACTCCCAGCGTGTTTGGCCCCATGTAGTTGAATCCTCCTTGACGGGCAGGTTTAGAGGGAGAGTGGTCTGTGAGTGGAATACATTCATATACATTAATAAACAATACCTGGTAAGTGTTTTTTGAATTGTAGTAAGGAAGAACATTTGCACTTACTAGTGGGAGCATCCACATAGTCATTGCTAAGCATGTTCTCTGCGAATGTAATGTTAGACAGAAGTGCGGTGGAGTTGTGATTGTTGAGGTTCAGCAGGTCTTTGCTGGGCTTGAGAGGCAGATGAGGTTCTTTCAATACTACTTCCTCATCCTGGGAACATACATTCTTAACTCTGACCAGTGAAGATCGCGATGGAGGGATGAGGACCGCCCTGAAGGGAGGCTGAGAGTTGGAGTCATCTCTTGAGTCTAACGATGGTTTTTTTAAAAGTTGAGGTCTTGGCGCTGGCATCGGTGGCGCGTCGACCTCTTCATATAAGTGACTGGCAAATTGTGAAAGCTGCTCTTCTTTGGGCTTTTTGACAGAGGGTCGGAGGGCAATAGAAGGTTTTGGTGCCACTGCAGGTGGTTTGGCGAAAACCTTACGAGGACGAGGGAAAGGCATAGAGGTTTCATCATTCTCTGCGTTTGATTGACTTTCAAAGGCTTGTATTCTTGACCGGATGTTGTGGTCGTTGTGAAGGGAGGTCATCTTCTCACTTTGGTTCTCTTTAGTTTGGTTCGTCTGCTCTCCCTGGATGTTGACACTGATACTCAGTTCACTTTGAGGTTCCGAGCTGAAGACATCTAAGAGTTCCTGCAGATAATTGCCTGAATGGGCATCAGAAGTCTCCACAGGTGTTAAAGGACAAACTTCCCAGCTGTCTTGCAGTGGTATCAGAGGTTGTGCATTGACCTGATTGGATGGGCTCAGGGGTTTCGTTTTGGAGCGTGGCTGAGGCAACGGATGTGTGGTTGAGGCTAGATCGATGGTGGGTTGGGAGTTGAGAGTTGGGAGTGGATGTTAGGGATCTGGTTTGAGTTTCTTGTGAAACGGGTTTGCAAGGCAATGATGGCCAAGGTGGTTTTTTTGGCAGCTTCGCTGAAACTGTAAAAGACCAAACAGGAAGGCCTTGTTCAGACTGCCAGCAGAAATCAGATTTTTTGCATATCCAGATATTATCCAGATGGATTTTTGAAAGTCCGAACAGCAAAAAAACTAATGAAATCAGATTTCATTACATACGGAGGTGATTTAAAATGCGATTTCAATTAGATTTTTACAGATGTGTCTCAGTCTGGACGCTCTGACTGCTCAAATCGGATATTAAATTGTCTTTTGCGTCACTCTTAACACTAGGGTTGGAAAATTTCTGAAAACTTTCCATGGGAAGTTAATCTGGGGGAATTTTGGAAATATTGGAATTTAAATAATTCTGGAATCGTAAAAAAAAAAATATTACAATTGATGCTCGACAATAGAAATAGGCTTGATGAATAGAGGAACATTCCTGAATCGGCATGCTAAATCAAACTATAACCTACATTCTTGTATGATAACAGAAAACTAGCTAGCAGAAGAAATGACATCACAGTTGAGCTAGCACCATGATAGCTCGCATCTTAAAATGTCAATGAAAGGGTGTTAATTATCTTACATTTAGCATATCTGATTTACTGGCTAGCTCGCTGCTGTATAAACACATTTTGATTTGATTTTAATACCACAGATCAAATATATTTACCCTAGTAATATCATCAAAACTTCCTTGACTGCTCAAATCCCGTAGTGTGACTTCAATAGTCCTGCAGATTCTAGAAATAATGCATGTGATTGAGGAATGTGCAGGATAGAAATTCAACTGAATTTGCATTAAATTACTATGCTTCAAGATGTTTTTTTTTTTTAACTACATTTAAATTCCCTATTCAGGGCTCTACAGTGCGACCATTTCAGTTGCATTTGCGACTGAAAACTACTGCGTGCGACTATGAAAATATATTTAGGAGCACCAGTGCGACTGACCAGATCATCATCGTATTTGTGATTGTGATCGCTGAGGGGAGCTTCAAAGGTTTCTACGTGTGCTCTCAAAGATAAAGCCCGAAGAGCTCTATACACAATCAAGAAAAAATTCCAAAATACTGAAATACCGCTTCCAACTTGGTGTAAAATCTTTGCTAGTGTGATTCAGCCCATAGCGCTGTATGGAAGTGAGGTTTGGGGTCCACTCAGTGATCAGAGCTACACTAGATGGGACAGACATCCAACAGAAGCCCTACACACAGAATTCTGCAAAATGATTCTAAAACTACAAAGAAAAACACCCAATAACGCATGTAGGGCAGAATTAGGCCTAAGCGTAGAGCCCTGCTATTATAGGCTAACCAGTTTATTCCCATACATTCCCATGAATTCCCATATTTTCCCATTAATTCCCATGGAAAGTTTTCAACTTGAAGTGAAAATTCCCAGAATTTGCAAACCTACACATAACGATAACGTCAAAACCTGAGACGGAAATGCCAGAAGTATTCATAACCGTATTCAAACAAAGCTGTGATTACAGCACAGAACATCATATTCACAACATATACCAGACTCCTCCGTTACTCGAGTTTTTCTTGTGCAACAAAGGAGTTCTTCACCGCAACTCTACAGGTGCTTATTTGGAGAGCGAGATGATGCACCTCCATTTTTCCTGCATCTGCTTTGAAACGTGGGTAAACTCGCGTCGTAACCAAAGCAACCCAAGCTGCTTATGTCTGCACACAAATCTGATGCAATTATTAGTGCGGACAGTCTGCCTGAAAATATCTGATTTGACTAAAAATCCGATTTGCCTGCAGCCTGAACATTGCATAAGTGTAACAATTTCTGGTTCACATTGATTTGCGCACTCAAAACCTTGTCAGTATGCACTAACCTTCGCTGGGATGTTGGTTGGAATCTGGATGCGTCACATTCTCCTCTAGTGAGTCAGTCTGTGTGGCATTAGTTGCTGTATGCGAGCGTCGTGGAAATGGTAAAGGTGTGGCAACCTGCTCCTGGGTCTTCTCCTTTATCACCTGCTCATAGGATGGTGGAAGCTGAAGCACGAGAGAAGGCAATCACTCGAACGCAAGCATCAAACCAAGCAAACACGTCACAAGTGTGCAGGACACATACAGTCCTAGAGAACAGAACATGGAAAAAAGTAGGGATGCACAAAATACAGGTAACATATCAGTATCTATGTGACCCTGGAGCACAAAACCAGTCATAAGGTTCCATTTTTCGAAATTGAGATTTATACATCATCTGAAAGCTGAATAAATAAGCTTTACATTGATGTATGGTTTGTTAGGATAGGACAATATTTGGCCGAACTACAACTAATTGTAATCTGGAATCTGAGGGTGGAAAAAAAAATCTAAATATTGAGAAAATTGCCTTTAAAATTGTCCAAATTAATTTCTTAGCAATGCATATTACTAATCGAAAATTATGTTTTGATATATTTACGGTAGGAAATTTACAAAATATCTTCATGGAACATGATCTTTACTTAATATCCTAATGATTTTTGGCATAAAAGAAACATCAATAATTTTGACCCATACAATGTATTTTTGGCTATTGCTACAAATATACCCCAGCGACTTAACACTGCTTTTGTGCTCCAGGGTCACATATGGTTTTTATTTATCAATATTGGATATTATCATACTGTACATTGAAATGTTGTGATATTTACTTGAGCATTCAGTACAGACTATATCAACATTTACCGGTTTTCAGCCATAACATGAAAATAATTATCAGTTTATCAATATCTCAAAATATCTCTAATATAATGACCTTTTAAAAATGCCCTGGAATTCTGACTGAATCTTTCCTTATACAACAATTTTTATATTTTAAAATTATATGTGAGCAGATATCTGCCAGTTCTATTTTAGTATTATTTATATACTATTGTATACTATTATATATATATATACTATTATTTTTTTATTTTTTTATTGGTATTTTATGTCTAGTTTAAGTTTTAGAGATTTTTATGTGCTTTTTCCATTTTTATTACTTTTTTATATTTCTATTGAGCTTTAATTTATTTGTATTTCCTTTTTAGTCATTTTAGTACTTCTCAACTCAAACTTATTTCCATTAAGTTGCCAAAGCAACATTTATTTTATTTTATATTATATCGTATTTAATTTATTCAGCTTTATTTCAAAAAATGACAATTATTTTTAATAGTTTTAGTTTTAGTTACTAATAACAACACTGATGTCTGCACAGTGTGACAGTGGTTTATTGATAAGTTAGTACTCCATGTGCTAGTCTCTCAAAAATAAGGACAAAGCGGCCATGCTTTAAAAAGTTATTGGTATTTTATATGTCTAGTTTAATTTTAGAGATTTTTATGTGCTTTTTCCATTTATATTACTTTTTTATATTTCTATTGAGCTTTAATTTATTTGTATTTCCTTTTTAGTCATTTTAGTACTTCTCAACTCAAACTTATTTCCATTAAGTTGCCAAAGCAACATTTATTTTATTTTATATTATATCGTATTTAATTTATTCAGCTTTATTTCAAAAAATGACAATTATTTTTAATAGTTTTAGTTTTAGTTACTAATAACAACACTGATGTCTGCACAGTGTGACAGTGGTTTATTGATAAGTTAGTACTCCATGTGCTAGTCTCTCAAAAATAAGGACAAAGCGGCCATGCTTTAAAAAGTAAAAGTAAAGACATGCTAAGCACACAAAGAGAATCCACACACCTGTCTGGTTTGTTAATGGCCGCTGTTGAACTGGATCTAGTGCCCTAAATCACTTGACCTGAGCAGAGGTCAGAACGCACAGCTATACAACCAGGGTTGTGGTTTTATATTAAAAAAACATATGAGGAGATTCAATCTGGCATCAATGTTGGTGAGATAATCTATGGACCTAAATCACTCGGCCACTTTCTATTATGTCATTAAGGAAATTAAGAATAAGACGTATTTTTAAAATAATCATTTTCAGGCACAAAAAAGTCTATTTACAAATTTTCTGCCTCAAAATTGTAACCACATATTTTAATGGATTATATTGCATTATATTGTCTATGCTGGCAACTGTATCCAGCACAAACATGTATGAGATTGATTAAGCGTTTTATACAGACAAAAGTGTAGCCTAGCAGTTCTTCAAAACATGTTGTCCACACAATGTTGTTGTCCACGAAGTCTGGCTTTTGGCATATCCTGATCCGTCCTTTAACCCGATTCATGGACTCTATTCATTAAAAATGGCCAAAATAGTTTCAGTAAGCTCACCTTCTTTCCCTGGAGCAGTCCGGTTGTGAGTGAGCTCTTGCAGAAGCTGGAAGATTTTAGATCATTTAGCATTTTGACCATATATATATACTGTATATATAATGTAAAAACATGGCAGATGTACATCACATCTTACTCACTTCTCTTAAAGGCGGCTTTGATTGAAGAAAGGGGTCTTTGACTAAAAAAGCAAGCAGGGAAAAAAAAAAGATATTGACAAAATATCTGCAACATTCTTTGCCATGCTCTGTGGGGTATTCTTAACACTTTATGGTTGTTTAAGGTCAACAATCAGACGCACCACGAGCGAATGGCCACAGTAAAAACAAAACATATATGTACAGTACCATTCAAAAGTTTGGTGTCAATAAAATTGGTTTTGCTTAAAAGAAATTAATACTTTAAATCAGTAATGATGCATTAAATTGATCCGATATGACAGTAAAGATTACAAAATATTTATATTCCAAATAAACGCTGTGCTATTCATTAAGGAATCCTGGAAAATATCATGGTTTCCAAAAAATATTAAGCAGCATTGATAATAATCAGAGATTATTGTTGAGCAGCAAATCAGCATATCAGAATGATTTCTGAAGGATCTTGTGACACTGAAGACTGGAGTAATGATGCTGAAAATTCATGGTTGTGGAATGTGCCACTTTATGATGTAATAGTGTGGCTAAGTCCCGCCTCCGCAGAAGAAGATCAACGCCTGCTTCTACATCACTGCCTGTTTAGCTCCGCCCATCGATTCATGCATATAGTGTAAATAACAAGAGGCAAACACAGGTCTACGCAGAAACCAAACGATAAAGATGCTCCGAAGACAACAAGACCCTGTGCAGTGCTGAGTATTTATGCATTTTTAACCTAAGTCACAGCAGCATCCATCTATGAAGGGTGTTGCTGTCAAACACACACAACTGTTAGCCAATCACAGCAGTGGGCGTTTACTTCCGAGTCTACAATCCACCACGCCTATTCAAAAAGAGCA